CTCCAATTTTAGCAAACTTATAGTCAAACTGAACGTCTCGGAAATACGAACCCAACGACACAAAATTTGACTCAATCCAAGCTCAAATGAGTCCAAATCGAAGACCCGATCAGCGATGTTGGAAGGTTCAAACCACAGTTTGGATTACCAAACGGTTTCCAAACATGACATACTTATAATCGAATCAAGTGGCTCGACGAGACGAATCCAACAAGCCCAAGATCGTTGAATTCCAATATCATTAAGGCCTTAAAATGTCTGACGAATAGTACATGACCAAGGGATTCAATATCGGTCGTCCATCCAACCACTCCCCATTTACCCCTAATCTCTCACCTATTTACATGTCATGCCACTCCATAATATCTATAAATAAACCCCTTATTTTTTATGATAGGAGACCCAAGAGCCAAGTCAGAAGAGAAGGAGGAGGAAGGAAGAAGAGGAGAAGAGAAGAATAGGAGGGAAGAAATTCCTCCTCGACCACCGACGGAATTCCGTCCGACTTCCAAGTGACGTCGGAATTCCGCCCGACTTTCACGGGACTCCGGAATTTTACTTGACCTCCAAGTGACGCCAGAGTTCTGCCCGAATATCATCTAACGCCAGAGTTCTCCTCGGCCTCCAACTAACGTCGGACTTCTACCGACGCCAGACCTCCACTCTTCGCCAAGTTTTTACTTGACACCAGACTTCTACCAATTGTCAGACTTTCGCCGGACATCTTTTTTATCATGGATTTCTGTCCATTATTGGACTTCTACCTGATGCCATCCTTTTGACCTTCATCATCAAATAATGGTCCTTTTGACTTACGTCGCCCATCGACTATAGTCCTTCTGACCTCTATCGCACATCGACTACGATCCTCCTGACTTACGTCATCCACTGACTACAGTCCTTCCGACCTCCATCTCCTGCCGACAATGATCCCACTGACTTGCATCGCCCACCTACTATAGACATTCCGACCTCCATCGCCAACAACGGTCCTTCTAACTTACGTTGCCCACCGATCGACTACAATCCTTCTGACCTCCTTCGCCCGTCGACTACGGTCCTCCTGACTTTCGTCGCCCACTGACTACAGTCCTTCTGACCTCCGTCGACCGCCGACTACGGTCCTGCTGACTTACGTCATTCACCAACTACAGTCCTTCCAACCTTCGTCACCATTCGACTACGATCCTCCTGACTTACGTCGTCCATCGACTATAGTCTTTTCGACCTTTGTCACCAGACAACGATCTTTATGACCTCCGTCGCTTGCCGACTACGATTCTTCTGACCTCCGTCACCAGACTATGGTCATTCTAAACAAACAAACACATCAATAGTGAATCTTTGCATTCCTACAATGTAATGTACTCAATATGATGTACATTAAGCCAATAACTTCCCCTAAGGAAGGACCTCATTTGTAATCAACTGCAATACTAGTGGATTCATTCAAACTGGGCTGGTCCTCGTGATTTCCCCCTTTTCAGGGGTTTTCCACGTAAAATTTTTTGTGTCTCAAGTGAATGATGCACCCGCTCTTTTTATTTGTGTGTGTGCTAGATCTTCGTACAACGCTAAGACATTAAACTTTATATTTCTCTACCATCGCGAATACTCCAGGATGCAACAATGATATTAATAGTTTATTTGTTATTTTTGTTTCTTTTAAATCTATTGGAGCTTGTACATAGCTATATATATTAGGATTTTAATTATTATTTTTATCCTAATGCATAACTTTGAATTTCTTAAATTTTTCTAAAAATATGATTTTTATCCTAATACATACTTGTGTATTATTATGTACAAGCTTTGATATAACGACATTAATAGTTTGTTTATTTTAAATCTTTTTGAGCTTATTCATAGTATTGTATTAGAAAAATTTTCTAAAATTTTTATTTTTATACTAATGCACAGCTGTGTAGAAGGCTATAAGCTATGACAACAATTTCAATAATGTATTTGTTATTTTTGTTCATTTTAAATTTTTTGGAGCTTACACACAATAATAGCCCGTGTTTTTTACTTTAAAATTTTTTCTGGATTTATTATAACTTTAAATTGTAAACCATCTTAGCTATAATATTTTGATTGAAGTATTTTATTTATACAATTTTTTTTTGTAATTTTTGGACTCCGGTGAAAATCCTTAAGAAATTGATGCCTATCGGTACAAGTTAGGATTTCGAAATCGTTAGGTGTATTTTTTGTAAATTGATTTCATTGATATTTTTGAAATAATATGATTTATTTTATGAATATTTTTCTATAAATAAAAAAAAAAGTCTAAAAATATTTTATTTAAATTTTATACTAAAGAAATTGATTAAATTTAATATTATAATAATATTTTATTATAAATATCCTAAAGCACTAATACGTTTTATTAAAAAGCTTTTTAAATATTTATTTTCCCTTAAGCAATCGGTTAATAGAGACTTGAAATGAGAAATGTGAGAGAAAAGAGAAGAGAGAGAAAGAAAACACTTAGATTTAAAGGCCGTGGTGCGATTTTTGTCCATTGAGCCTGTTGGGATAATTCTTGTCTCGCTATAAGGAAGATTTATCCTATTTATGATTTCAAAAAATTTGTGTTTTTTATATTTTTTTGCTCAAATTTGTATTTTTGTTACCGAAAAATATGAATAACTTTGTATTGACAGAAACTTTCACCGCGTAATTTTTTGTATGTTATAGAAAACATGATTACGAGCATTTTAAGTATTTATTTTAAAATTTTCACTGTGTGATTTTAAAAATACAATGATTTTTGTTTACCCTAAAATTTATTTTAATATCTAAAAATAGTAATGTAGTACAATAAAAGTCTTAAAATATTATTTTATACAATTTCTAGTATTTTTGTAATTTTCTAAAAAAGTTTATTTTTTCATAATAGGATTTTTTTGTTGTCTACCATTATGATATTTTGTCATATTCTTAATTAAGCTCAATTATGCTTTATTTATTACAAAGCATTTAAAATGGATGTGGATATATACTTGAGTAATAGTTGATTGCTATTACTAATATAATAATATGATAATAATCTGAATGTGTGAAATAAATAATTAAAGATTGGTTGACCTGTTGGTTAGAGACTAATTGACCTGTACAAGATGGTGGGCTGATGAATTTTCCTTTAAATAATATGGTTTGTCATTATCATATACTAATTCACGTGATACACTGATTGAGAGTTATAAGAAAATCATTACTGTGCCAACGAGTAAGGAGTGACGACTCTATTTACTGAGCCAACGGTTTACTAACACTGAAAAACACTGTGATAACAAATGCTTCTACTTGTTAAGTATGAGTATTGATATATATATATATATATATATATATATATTAGGCATTATTCTTATTTTTGTATGGATTTATTGTTACTGTACGAATTTACTATTATTGTATTATTCTGCTACTCATGCCACTGAATTGTTATTGTTATTGATTTAAATACTTATATTATTTGATATTACTGATGCACTATAATGATATTATGTATGTGATATTAAGCACATGATATAAATTACCTGAATAGTATTAATACGCTCTTATATGATTTTACTATATTGACATGATTTCGATAATCTTTATTGATATTTGATTTGATACTTTATATGGTTTATGTACTGATTGATATTATTGGTATGATGATTGTTTTATAGATTTGACATTTGTAATGGATTACTATTTTACTAGTTTTTATACCTTAGTGCTGTACTACTTATAGATTCTATTACTATTGCATTTGCGTTTACTATTTCTGTACTCATTCAATGATTATATGAATTTAACTGTTATAATTTGACTGTTAACATATATATTGTTCATTCACTATTCTTTGAATTCAATTATAGGTTTTGGTGACCTGCTGGGCTTTTTAAGCTCATTATATATGGTTAAATGATTTTAGGTCAGGGCAGGAGAGCATGAGTGTGAGGCTAGTCAAGATTCTTCAAGATTTATTTTTTTGTTATAGTCCTGAGTAGTGTATATAATTTTTGGGAATGAATATAAATGTGTGCATTGATTTTTTGAAATATAGAATCTATTTTATTATTTAATATTGATAGATGATATTACTTAGCTCTAATTATTATTTATTAAAGGAGAAATGAATAATTCTTCTAATTTAAATTCTAGGGCATCACACACATAGTTGTGTATTTGGGAAATTTTCTGAAAATTTATTTTTATCCTAATACATAGCTATGTATTGATGTGTATAAGCTTTGACATAATGATTTCAATAATTTTTTTATTTTTTTTATTCATTTTAAATTTTCTAGAGCTTTTACACAGTTATGTATCAAGGAAATTATGTTGGACAAATTATTAATCCCCTGTACACACATTTGCATATGTATAATTCAATTATCACTTTTTGTTATAGAGCATCATGATTTAGAGTTATATACAACTCTTTAGTTCTTTTCAGCAATGATTTTAAGGACATATTAAAGGAATTACACATACATTAATTTTTGGAGTTCTCTACATTACAACAGAATGCTCCCATCATACACATGTTGTTGTCATTATGGGATATGCCAAAGCAATGCTTCATCATCAAGTGGTATGAGCTACAAATTACTACATTTGACGTGTCTCTTAATATAGAAATGGTAAACATGGGAGCTGAATTTAACATGGAATGTGAGACATTATCACTATTTACTTCAATCGATATTATAAATGAGATGATAAGACTAAAAAAATCAACTCATCACACCCTTGCCATAAATAAATTTATCATGTTTTTATTGTCTAATTTATTCTTTCACTTTAATAACTATAGAACCCCAACGAGGCTATTTAGTGTTGCACATAATATAGATTAATTCTCATTTTACAATTAGGCAACGATCATTAGGGATTTCTTAGTTGCTTAGCTTGATAGGATTGCTAAAAAGTTTGATAACTTCAAGGCACTAAGTATGTTAAGTGATAATTTATATATTTGACATAAAATAAGTTCAAAAAATTAATTGAATGTACTAGAATTCCTATAAAAACCCTAATTTCAATTACAATCCTCGAACTTCATCTCTCCTTATCTACATCTCCGCCGTCCCGGCCACCTCGCCGTCCCCCACTAACCTCCACCGCCAGCCTCAAGCAAACGCCTTTCCCCTTAACCTTTCTCCATTCCCCGACACCGATCTACATAATCCCTGCCCTCATTTCCCCTTAAAAATATCTTGCATCCATCTCAGATCCCTTTCCAATGGAAGGTGAAACGGCCTCTGATCCCATCGCCGACGGATCTCCGCTGGTGTCTCGGGTGCGGAAACTTTTGTTTCGGCGAATGCTTGTCGGTGTTAAAGACGGGCGATTCTTTCTTGGGTCTTTCCATTGCATCGACAAGCAGGGCAACATCATCCTGCAGGACGCCGTAGAGTACCGCAGTATCCGACGATCGCCGCAGTCGCCGATGGAGCAGCGGTGTCTTGGTATCATCCTAATTCCTGCTGCCTGCCGCTCTTCCTGCCATGTAGATTGCTCCATCAACGAGCAGATGTCTCTGCTATCTATCATTTGATGAAGATGGGAATCTGGAGGTGAGGGTTCAAATTCAACTGAATAAGGCTTCTTTTATTATTTCGAGTTTGCTGTTTCTGTTATGGAACTAAACAGCGCTTTTGTTTGATAAGCTTTGAATCGTAAGTGTCAAATGCAGAAATCCACGTATTTTTGTACACAATTCTGTTTATATTCATGAGTTCATTTGTATAAAAATACTTTGATGAAATGGAATTACGATCTAACTTGTTAGTTAATGCTATTTCACGAAATTTTTAGTTTGCGATCTAACATTTTAACCTTTATATATGATTTTAACTTCTAAACCATATCAAAATATATGAATGTAAAAATTTGTTTTGAATAAATTAGTATTAGTGAAATTTTTATATAATTTAAAGATTTAAATCTAATATAAACACATAAAATTTTTTATGCTAGCTTTGTGAATGCATAGAAATTTTTGTGATATGCATGCAAATTCTTCTTTTTTCTATTGTTTATGTTGATAAAAAGCTCACTTTAAAACATCAAAACTAGCACTCTAGCTCCCTTCCTCTCTCAGCATTAAGTCATTGCCTTCCTCCTCTCCGCCCTCCTCTTCCTTGGCTTTGCCAAAGCCATTGCCAACATAGCTGATGAGGAGCCCAGCTTCCTCCTCTCCACCCTTCTCATGCAGATGACAATGATAAAGATGATCAGATCGATCGCACACAACAACTGAGAGTTGGGAGACTGGTGAGATCTATTCATTTTTGTCGGCTTTGACGATGTTGCTGGTGGTAAAATAATTGTGTTGTTATGCCATATCTGAATGTGATTTCCTCTTGGTTTAGAGTGTCAATCTTTTGAATTTGTTGTCCAATTTTTTGTCCATTATTGCTTTTGGGAAATTTCTTTTAAAAATTTGGGAAAGTTGGTAGCTTGGCCTCCAAGATAAGATTTTTTTTTTTTGTTTTTCAGGGCTTTATGAGATTTCATTAAATTCTTAATAGTTTGTCTCATTCTTTTCCTCTAGCAGTTTTTTTTTTTTTTTTATCGACCTAGTTAAACTGTTTGGATTTGAGATTGGGGTGATTTTTTTTTTCCTTTTTTTATATTTATAATCTGAGGCAGCTAGAGATGATTATAGTTTACTGATATTCCATATTCTTGGCATTCTTGAAGGAAGATGAAACATTGATGCATTTAAGTAAAGGGAAAACTAAGTTTTTTATCTGTCAAGAAGATGATGGGGGTCGATGGGATGAACAAAGATTAGAGTTTTCTGTAATATCTTTCCCCACTGATTAATAGGTGCTGTTGTCAACAGCTTCAAGGTTTATCATGAAAGATCATGCTGTGTATTGCCGATGTAACTTACAATAAAAGGTTCCAATTACAAGCTTTGGAGGGGAAGCAAATGAAGGTACAATGATTGATGTTGTTATTATGAACATGGCAATAATCTTAGTTCTGTTAAGTCTCTTATGTATTGAAAGTTCTTTTAGCATTGTGTTGTTTTGATGAAGGTTGTAAATTTCCAACTTTATATTAAGTGATTTTATTATAATCATTTTCTGTTGTGAACTATCATTCTGAACTGCTTGTTCACTAATTTGTCCAAAGCAGAGTTATTCTTTCCCTATACATATAATTCATTAAAGCAAGAACTGCCATTGCATGGGCAATTAAAGAAAATCGGATGCGCTTTAAATACTTGAATATTTTGAGGTATTTTCATGAGCATAAAATAATTATAAGTGATTTTTTTTATTTGATTTAAAGTAAAATAAATACAGTTAAAAAAATCCAACGATGGTGGTGGTTGACGATTGCAGTGGGCAGCGGCGATGGTGGTGGTTGACGATTGGCAGTGAGCAGTGGCGACGGTAGGGTAGGCGTTGGTAGTAGGCGATGACTGACAATGGTGATGATGATGATAGAGAATTACGGTGTATTTAATAAATATTGTCAAAATCTAACTATTTCTAGATATACTAAAATTAAAATAAAGTGTGGATTTTAAATACTTCAAATTTTACTTTTTATTTTTGAGATATTTATGTCAATTAAAATAAATTTACACGCATCACATGCAGGACTCAAAGTATTCTGTTAGCACAGCTATAAAGCAAAAACTCACAAGTGCGAAATGTATAAAAAAGTTCACAAGTAAGCCTGAAGAAATTCCTCGTCAAAGTCTTTGTCAAATTTTACGTTTACTTACCTAAAGCAACACTCACACGTTAGCAGAAAATCTAACTTTTTTCCTTGTTAGTTTTAGATGAAGACGAATCTTTCGATATAAAAGTGATTATAAAATTGTTGTGTTTAGAAAGGAACTTTTGAACCATTGTGACTTCAATCTGATAGGGACGGAACGTCTTCGACGGAGGCGAATGGAGCTTTTTAAAGACTCATTCAAAAGTCTACCTCATGCGAAGGAGGCCAAGCCGGATATCAACAAAGAAATTTAGAAAGGGAAAAGCAAGCCCTCGGTAGGCCTAAGGCTATTGGAAGGGAAGCTATATTATTAAAATGGCCAATGGCAGGGAAGATTATCAGGCATGAGAAGGAACATGCGAAGCTCGGTGGGAACTTTGTGGGTAGGCAAGACGGGAGAGCGAAGGCCTGCGAAAACAAAAGAGGCAAAGTCGAAAATCCACAAAGAAATGCAGTTGGGATTTCGCTCTTTTTCACGCGAGAGAGTTGCGGTGTATTTGAAATTTGCTTAATTTGACCTGGTGTCAAATACACCACAAATACCCTACCGAGCGAATTCGGAATACTTTACTTTGGCACTGTAGCTTTACTTTGCATTGTGCCAAAAATCAAAATATTTAAAATGCATGCAAAAACCAAAATATTTAAAATGCATGCATTCCTTTTGCAATGCACGTTGAATCAAACAGCTCCTTAAAGTACTACATATGTAAACTTCTCAAAAATAAAATAATTTATCATAAATTTGATTAAAGCGATGCAACACTCCAAGGTCTTGATGTACAATGAAGATTTTACAATTTGACCAACACTTCTCCTTTTTAGGTTAGAATGAATGAGAAAATGAGCTTTGGTGTTTTATACAAAAATTAAAGAAGTTATTCTTTTGAGTTATGCACTTGGTGGTTAAACCCTTCATTTGGGTTTTCCTTGATGGAAGACCTAGTTTTTCGTTTAGGTAATTGCTGATTTCTCTTCTCCCTTCTCTTACATTCCTGCCAACATCTTCGCTTACATTTCCCTCATCTCCGAACACCTTTTCCTTGCTCCTATAATTATTAAATATGTCATTCCCTCCTTCATAAGCAATATGCCAAACATGATCTTCTAGTTACCTAGTATTGATCCCTTCCCCTCCATCACTCTCTAAGTCCCATGGATATTTAAGAAGAAAGAAAAAAAACTCTAGATTTGACGTCCAACATTCCTTTAAAACTTCAGGATGTTTTTAGTCCCCAGATACACCATTAGAACCTTCATCCAACAAAATGTTCCAAATTAGACACTTTGAAGTAATGATGGTCTTTCTACCCTTACACATTCTTAGAACTTTTGGATATCCACTAATAACTCTTGAAAACATCTCTTTAACTTTCCCATAATACTACCAAGTGGATCCATGCCCTAGATCCTTCCTCATTCGAAACTCTAACTATTGAATTCTAGGGAGATATTAATGTGTTTCACCCACCCTCCACACTTGACCAACCCCATATGGTGTCCACCACCTCAAAAATCCTCACACAACATTCCAAGGAAGCATCTCTTAAAAGGAATCCTACTACAATATGTTGAAGCCATAGATCAACCTTTCCAAGTCTAGGTCATAATGTTTGTTATAACACAAATATTTGAAAAATGCATTTTTATCTGCGACAGTCAAGAATTTATTAAGGAGTTATTATAAGTCCAAATAAGAAATCCTCTTCTCCATAACATGTCTATTGTTGTGCTTTATTTTCCCTAAAGTTTTCATAATTTTTTGACACTGGTGAAATTTCTTAAGAAATTAGCACCTGACGGATACAAGTAGGAGTATTGGGACCATTAGATGTCTGTTTTGCAAACTAATTTTACTTAAATTTTCTAAATAAAATAAGTTATTTTATGAATATTTTTCTATAATTTTTGAATACCTAAAAGAATTTCTATGAATTTAGTATTGAAGATTCATTAAAATATTATTATTATATTATTATTTTACAAAATATTTAAATACATTTTAAATTTTATTAAAAAGCTCGTTTTCATGTTTTTTTTGCTAACGTGAAACGACAGATAACATTTTAAAGAAATTGAAAAGAAAAGAGAGGTGAGAGAAAAAGGAATTTGAATTTTGACAGATGTAGAGCGAATTTTGTCTGTCAGCCCAGTTGGAAATTTTGCTCGTCTCGAGGTAGGTTAAGTTTTGCCAACTTCATATTTTAATAATTTTGTGTTTTTTTTGTATTTTTTCAATCAAATTTGTATTTTTGAAAACTTTGTTTTGATAAAATTTTTACCACATAACTTTTTATATGTTATAGAGATTGTTGTTATGAATATTTTAAGCATATTTTATAATTTTTTTGCCAAGAGATTTTGAAAAAGCATCGATTTGGGTTTAGAACCGCTGCAAGAAAATTTGTAGGGGTTAAAACCGCTGGTAAAGGTCCAAAATAGTGCTGCAATAGCGCCATTTTCTGGTAGTGATTTTAACATCTAAAAATAGTGTTTCATTTTAATTAGAGCTTCAGAATGATGTTTTACACAGTTTGTGGTAATTTGGTTATGTTTGAAAATTGTGAATTTTTACGTAGTAGTATTTTTGTTGTCTAATGTTGGGACATTTTGGCAATTTTTGAATTAAGTCTTATTATGCTTTAATTAATGAAATGCATTAAAAAATATGTTGTAAAGTGTTGTGATGTGACGTCTGCGCCAGTGGGCGGCCGAGATGAGATTATGTTATGTTGGGGCCAATGGGCAGCTGAGATTGGATTCTGTTATGCTGGTGCCAGTGGGCGGCCGAGATGGGATTCTGTTATGCTGGTGAGATTCTGTTACCTAAGTGTTGTTATGCTGGAGCCAATGGACTACCAATGTGGGATTCTGTTATGAAGTGTTTGCTTATAATTTAGTTCATTTTAGTATATTTAATTGTATTTAACTTCAGTATATAATTCAGCATAGTGATCTTATTATTATTTTTTTTTAATTATTGAACTTTGTTTTAGGCTACAATAGCATACTGGGCCGTGTTAGCTCATTCTTGTTTTTACTTTTATTTTCATGACCGGGGAAGGGTGAGGAGCGAACTTAGTAGTTGGGATAATAGGCTCTCATTTACGTTATCTGTATGTTTTGTTAATTTTGATTTTTGCAGGCTTGTCTTTTATTTTTTGTTGTGCTCTATGTTGTCAAGCACTGTTGTAGATAGATTTTAGATTATATATGTTTTGGATGATATATATAAAAATTATGTTGAGATTCCGTAGTCTTCCACTTTGTATTGCATTCAATAGTGGCTCTGTGTATTATATAAATCGGAAATTTTATTTTAATATTTCTCCAACAAGATCTTTGGGTTAGTCTTGCCACAATCGGATATAATATGACCTGTGTGATATCGGGTCACATTGGATTGTGACAATTTTGGCTCTCTTCACATGTTCACCACAACTTCTATAATACCCAAAATTTCAAAATATAAGTTCACTATTTTGGCATAATGGTTTCCCAAAATGTTTCCATTATGTCATACCTCCATAAAACAACAAACCTATTTCCAATCAATTTTTTTTTATTTTGGAAACTTGAATATATATATATATTTCATTTATTATATGGGAATTTAATAACGTATTCAATTAAATTAATTAATAATTAACTAAATTAAATTATAAATTATTGTAGCTGAATAATAATTAAAAGTAATGTTAATATTATATCAATGTAACATACAACCATTTATTTATTAAAAAAAAAACATACAACCATTTATTTAATGTATTTTTTTAATGTATTCTACTATAGCATTTTCACTTATTTGAGGTTTGGCTTGTGGTAATCCCACTGTTAAGAGAGAGTTTGGATAATTGAGTGGAATGAGCACTAATATAAGATATATAAAATAAGCACTCACTATTGAGTGGAAGAGCAATATTAACTAAACACAATTTCCCTTCCCATTCCAAATTCCCCATCCATTTCCATGGAGTTCAAAGGGCTGGCTGTAAGTAGGTGCTGTGGAATCCATGAGGGCTTATTGGGGAGATAAGGAAATGATTGTAATTCTTTAAAATCAGTAAGTTAATAAAGGAAAAAGGGAAGGAAAGGAAGTATATAGGGGTTTTTTAGGAGAGAAAAAGAATTTGAGTTGAAGCTGTACAGATACTTTTGGGTATGTAAATATTATTTGAAGTTTGGTAAGCTCTGTATTTTATTTGATGTGTTAATTATGCTTCTTGTTGTGGAATAATGATGCTAGTCTTAAGTTTTGAAAGACTTGAAGTTTTGGAAGTGTTTGGATTGACCATTTCTTACTCACTTGGTCTTGATAGAAGTATTTCAAGATGGGTGTTGGTAAGAGATATGTCTATTCA